TAGTAACTTGGCAGATGATGCTGAGAATTGACATAATACAGATTTAGACAGAGTATTATATAGACAAAGCTTTTTTTTTCTTTTTTTCTTTTTTTTTTTTGGTTATCCTTGTTTGGTGAAGGAAGATTTAAGATCAGGTCTCTGGACTCTTGGTATTTCTGAAAAAATAAAGGTTAGCAAAGCAGTATCTCTTGAGATTTTTGTCTTGCAGCGCATGTTACTTTGGGCTGAAGAGAGGGAGCTTCAGGCAACTGGCAATAGCTTAGAGTGCTAAATAAATTCTAGTCTGTTTGCTAATAGAAAAATGACATTACTTGAAACCTGAAATGTTTTATATTATAATAATGAGCTGTAACCTCTACATGGCAGGTGAGATCCGTGAGTCCTATTTGTTTTCTCGTTGAAGACAGACCCACTGTACCATTTTATTTATTTATTTATTTATTTATTTAGGCCTCTGGGTTTTTGAGAGCTCTCTGACATTTTCCTCTTATGAGGTAAAAAGAGCAAAATCCCTGTTAGAACTGAACAGAACCTGACCTGGGGGACAGGGAAAGAGCAGCGAACGTGTCGCGTGTTCTCCCCTCTGGCTCTCTCTCATTTTGCCAGCAGGAGAAGTGGTGACCCAAAGGACCAGGCAGTCGCTTCTCAAGTTCTTGAAAAAAGTGTTTCCAGATTCCTGAAGCTGTGATGTGAAAAGCAAAAGACTTATTTGGGCTTGTGATAGTCCCAGCTCCCCTCTCGTTTTGGGGCTACCGATCTCAAAAGCTTCTTTATGCTGCAGCTTTCTGAGTGCTGGGTGGCCTGGCACTTGTGCTCTTCTTGCTTGCCTCTGTTTTTGATCCCTAACCCCTAAAATGGAGAGAGGAAATAAACATTTCTCATAGTCCTTTGAAGAGGTGTGGGATTGGAGCTCATCACTGCCACAGATCCTAGAAAGAATCTGCATTTTTTAAGCCTTACCTACTAGTCCATCACCCTGTTTTTGGAAGCACTTGCCAATTGCAAATATTGGATGAAGTTTTGTCTACGTGGCAGAAACTGCTGTGGGTTATGAGCCCTTGCTAAATGTGTGGGACTTTGCGAGATAAACAGGTTTGACAGGTGCCCGCTCCATATTGGGTCACTCTTGTCCCAGTTAAGAGTCGTGGTGCAAAAACACAAAATTGGCTATCCAAGAAAAGCACAAAACCTCTGAGCTTTCTCGGACACATCTTCGATGTAGAAATCAAGCTAGGTAACTTTCTGCAAGATTTCTCCTGTGTGTGGTTTTCCTGTTTCTCTTTAGTGTTCCCCATTCATAAATCAAGAATCACTCAATTTCTGTAAGCAAGTTTCCCTTTGAATTCAGAGCTGAGGCCCATGTGAAAACATATTTTTTATTTTTGGTGTTCTTTCCATTTGTTTGTGGTTCAAGTCTTGGCTATATGCTCAAGRCTCTATTACAGTTTTTAAATCTAGACTTTTTTTTTTCAATTGTTATGCATGTTACTTTAAATTAGAGCAGTATCTTTGTTAATAAAGCAAAAAAAAATAGGCTTACAGCTTCTAAGTATTTGATACTGTTTAATAAGTACTAAAAATAGCCTCTGCAAAGAAACATAGTAACGCCTCTAATATTTTTAGTCAAAAGCAGAAGCYGTAAAGATTTTTTCTGACATGATTAATGGCTCTGTATCTCAATTCCTGCATTTTTTTTTTTGCTAGGCTCAGCGGAATCTAAGATTTTAAAAAAGAAGGAGTTGCTAGTTCTGCTTGCAAAAATAGCTCTTCCTTTATTCTGTTTTGTTTGCTCTTTTGCCAGCCAAGCTAGAAAAGTGAGCGGCAGCATCCAGCTATGCTCATGTGGTGAGCCCTTCTCCTCCGCTGAATATCCAAGAGGATTGAGATTCCTTATCTCCCGTGCTCCTCGCGTGAAGGCRGCAGTGTGTGTGCTTGCGTGTGTGGAATGCAGGATGGGGCACAAATCTTTCACCCTCTGAGAYGCTTTTTTGTCCAAAACAAACACTTGGTTCCAGTAAGTGTATTTTAGTTGATAAATAACTGATAGTTTTCTGGAGAGGAACTGCTGTTTGTTTTCTGCTGTGAACCACAAACGTTTTTAGGCTGCTCCTGAAGCCACCGAACTCTGAGGTGTAGAGGAGGCAAGTGGTGCTGCTGGCGTGTTTGTGGTGTGAAGGCTTCTTGATGCTTCGTTATTTGCCTTCCTCCAACATGTGGCATCATCCTAGATTGCCTACGGACTGAGCTAGTCATTTAATATTTCCTGGGGATGACAAGGAAGAAAAAGACAGGAGAAGCCATGGAAATGAAAGCTAGTGTATGGGTATTTATTACCCTGTTGTGGAAGACCAGGAGACCTTTTTATTCCTGGAGATGATGTGGTTGCTTTCTTTGGCGACATTACTAATAGTCTTCCCCCGTTGTTCACACGTGCTTAACTCCCTGGGCATTTTCTATTGATATCTTCATGCGGATTACGTATTCTCAGGTTTCAAGCATCAATCTGAACAGTAATGGAATATTTTAGTGGATGTATGAAATACAAARCACAGAGGCTGTACGAGCTCAGTGCCAAGATGAGAATCAGCAATATTCCACCTGTAATTGTTTAGATGTTGTGTGAAATTGTGGTCTTAATTATTTAGTTCTAAACAATTGTATTGCCCTTATTTTTTAGGCAAAAACATTCATCGTTGTRTATGTGGCAGGTATGCATATCTATAGTTTTTATATAGAAATACAAAATATTAATATAATACCTAAGCAATAAAGCATATCCAAGGTATATATTTGTATAATATAATAGATTTTGTCCTGTGTTGTTGTTATTTTCTATAATAGAAATACACAGCCAATTCTTGAGGCTTAAGCAAACCTAGCCACATGTTTTGGCCCCGCTTTGCRGAGGTGTTAAGCAGGGCTATTGGTGCTTTGCTTGCTTGAGGAAAGCCACTGGTGCGGTGTTGGGCTACAAGAGAAGGCCTGGAGGATGCTCTGCTCCCTTGGGGTGTCCATCTCCTCCTTGCAGATGGAGATGAGTTGGATCTGCACAGAAAGGGAGTTATCACCAGAATTGCTGCCTGTCCCCATGCGCTGCTGGCGGTGATTCTAGGTGCTGTTGGGGAGGTCACTTAAGCTGCTGCATCTCTCGAGCATTACGCTGTGTTTTTCCTTGTTACAGTCTGAGATGAAGCTCTTTCAAGTCGCAGCTTGCTCTGCTATTTGCACTGAGCCTAGTGCAGGAACAGAGGCTTTGGGGAGATTTTACAGTGTAAATACACCTTTCTTGGAGTCTGCCTTCACACTGGGTGCACATGGATCRAGGGCAGCGGCAAAACCAACAGGAACTAGTTGGACAGGAATTCRGGAGATGGCTGTTTTTCCTTCTTTAAAAACAAGATTGAAACGTGTATCCAAGCCTGCTCACCATCGCTGGGAAAGCAGGTATGGTTTTGGTGGGGGCAAAATGACAGCTCTCCTAGGAAATAACCCTGGTGTTTATAAAATCTGGGAGGGGGAGGCCAGTTAGGATTGGAGCGAAGCCAGTCCTGCCCTTGCCTTGTCCCGTACAAGCTATTTTGAAATCAGAAAGAATTATGTATAAATAGCTGAGGGTGGAAGCGCATGAGTGAGTGCGARGGGACTTGCTCACCTGGTGCGAAATTCCCATGGTGAGGTGTTGACTTACCTTTTTTGTTTTTTATATATATACATATATATATATTTAGTACAAAGAGCTCATTTCTAGGCTCCAAAAGCCGGGTCCCGGTTTGGGAAGGCACCGAAGCACTTTCCCCAGGGGTGGTGTTCTCCAGAGCCGAGTCTTGTGTCAACTTGAAAGGCCTTTGATTTAGGGAAGGGGAGGGGAATAAAGCCAAGTGGTTTCAGATGCTGCCGCCTGAGCRAAACGTGTCGCCCAGGGAGACCCTGCTCTGTGGGTCCTTAGGCAACGTGGCCATGCAAAGCAGCACCAGCACCTGCACCTGCAGCCACCTGCCGCGTCCTGCGCCTTTGGAAAAATAGGAAATGGGAGCAGGGGGCTCTTTGCTGGGCTTTGGTTGCTGTGTTGAGAAAGATAAAACTGGCTGGCATCAAGAGAGAGCCCCTTCTTGTCCTTTCCCYTGCTGGTATTTAATGTTTCTTCTAGGCAGCAATGGGTAAAATGGGCTCCTGAAGAGGCCCATAGCCCTGAGCTGCCATCCCTGTTGCTTGTGACTTGCAGGCTGAGTGTGATGAAAGATTTGAATAAAAATTGGCTCTGGAGTTATTAAAAAAAAAAAAAAAAAAAAAAAAAAAAAAAAAAAAAAAAAAGATGGCAAAAAGAGAGGCACAAATCAAATGAAAACACAGCGGGTAAAAAAAAAAAAAAAAAAAAAAAAAAAAAAAGCTTTTTAAAATTATTATTATTGTCAACCACCCTCACATTTATCCTGCACCTTCTAATCCCAGCAGCTGCAGCTGAGCAGAACTGGCCGGCTCCGGCCTGCGCTGCCGCTGCCACTCCTGCTGCCAGCCCTTTCCAGCTTCTGTGCCTCTTTTTTTTTTTTTTTTTTTTTTTTTTTTTTTTTTCCCCATAACGATTGGGTTTCTACTCCTGTTCTGCCTTTATTAAATGCTGAGTGCCTGATCGGCAAATGTGTGAAAGCCTGCGATGCACCTGGGCACCATCCTGGTGTCTCTCTTGTGTGGTGAGCAGGCCGGGGCAAACAAATGAAACTTTTCTGTGCAGTCAGGTGGTCCTCACAGTAAATAAGAATATTGCAGCCTCGTCTACACGAAAARAGGGTGGTAGTGTCGATAAACCAGCTTGTGCCTTGACACAAAGTGTGTGGTTGGGCTGCTGAGATGGTTCCCCCTGAGGTGGTGGTGGAAGGCCCTGGCCTCCCCTTGCCCTTGAGGGAAAGCTGCCATCTTCAGACCTGTTGTGTGGAGAAGGGTAGTGCTGCTTTTATTGTTTAAGTCCTGGCTGTCCTAACAGTTGTCCCTTTTTCCCCCAGATGTGAGAGCTGTGTGGAGCTGCTGTTYGTGCGAGGGGCCGGCAACTGCCAGGAGTGCGACACTCCCCTGCGGAAGAGCAACTTCAGGGTGCAGCTCTTCGAGGATCCGGCCATTGACAAGGAAGTGGAGATTCGGAAGAAGGTGCTGAAAATGTGAGTATCACCAGGTGGAAGAAGAGAAACTGGAGGATTTGGTGGATCACTGTATTCACAAATTAATTTTTTTTTTTTAAATTCCATTACTGCATAGAGGGATAGCCAAACAGATAACTTGGTTCAGTTTAACACTGATGCATTTCAGAGAATCTGACTTTATGCAGACGTAGAAGAATGGAGCCTCATGGAATTCYTGCTTAGTGTTTAAAAAAGATATGGAGCTGCATACTGCAAACTATGTAGCCTCRTTTGGCTAATGTGGGTGATTAGATATGTGGACTACAAGTGCTTTTCCTTCAAGAGGTGACTAGTAGAGTGGGGCAAGAATCAGTACCTTGAGAGTTTTGTAGCCTGGGGACCTGTTTTGAGAACTGGGGTCTGATTTTCCCTCAAAATAAAGATGAATAAACACAAGAGAAGCTGCGTTCACACTGCTTTTTGTTGTGTACAATCAGTATTACTAAAAATGGTCTCATAACAAATCTCATGTTACCTGTCATGCAGATTTGAGAGATCTTGGAATTAAGATAAGTTACATCCAACTTCTTGTGGGTAAAAAGCAATGTTTTATGGGGGAAAACRGGAGGGGCAGCTGATGGAGAAGAGAATCTAGTGGAAAGTAAAAATCCTGGAGGGTTAAATGTGGGAAGATATACAGGTAAACTGTAAGCTTAGCAGCCTTTTCTAAGACTGCAGTATTTTCTAAGGATACAAGATTAAATGAGCCATAAGATGTTGAGATTTAGGGAAATTGCCTCATTTAACACTAAGATATATCGGTATCTAATGTGGAAAGAGGTATCATTTTGAGACTTGGTTACAGTGTCTGCTGAGGTTAATAGAAGTCAAACTGAAAGAAGTTAGTCTAGCTGGAGAGCCTGAACGTCACATGAAGCACTAGTAGAAAAAAAATATTTTAGAATATTTGGTCTGCTTGCAGTTGTCAGATTAGCTTTTAGTAGGTAGAAAAAAAAATCCCAAATTGGAATTTGGCCTGAGTTCTGGGAATGTTATATTTTTATTTTATATATATATATATGTGTGTGTGTGTATAAAGTGTGTGTATGCATATATAAACGTGCATATGTATATGTATTTGTAGGTATAATGTGTCTTTGATATAATGTATCTTTGAGCATGCAGATTTTTTTTTTTTTTTTTTAACTTTATCCATTAGGATATCTTGACTCCTAGAGCCTGTCCATGTTCTGCCTAGGTTTGTTGTCCCTTCACCTTTTCAGCCTATCCGAGTAGTAAGAATTCTCTCAATGAGTTTGGGAATGATTTACTGATAYGAAATAAATATATTTTGTAGCATTTTAAGTTTGCTGCTAAAATATGCTCTCTGTTGTCGGCACAAAGCCAGCTCCTTACTTTGGTATTTCTAGAAAAGCTTTTTTTTTTAATGAGTATTGCTGTTGTCTCTGTCTTTATTAACAGGCTTTCTGTGGGCAAGAGAGGGGTTGTGGTTACTATGTCCTAGCTTCTGTGCTCCCATTTAGCAAAGAGTAGRAAATGTCAGCACTTACGCTGGACCAGCTGCTTTCCTCTGGAATGGGCACTTCTGTCTCCCTCTAAAAGATCCAGTATATTGGTCAACTGTGGGAGCCACAAAGCACTGCTGATAAAACTAGGTCAGGCCTAATATGCTTGCAGCAAGAGCCTTGTTGAAAGGAAAATTCATCTTTGTGTTACATAAACGATTGTTTCTCTTCTCTCAAAGATACAATAAAAGAGAGGATGACTTTCCCAGTCTGAATGAATATAATGATTTCCTGGAAGAAATAGAAGAAATTGGTAAGTCCTAATGCTTGCATTTTTGATGGGCTGTGCTCATGAGACCATAGGCTTTTATCTTCTGACTCAGCTGCCTATGAGAATGTCTAAGTTGAGTTTCTTTAATARGATTTATTGTAGTATCTGATGCTTATCTAATTACTTTCTCTGTACATTTTTAATCATATTTGCTGAACTGTGGGACATTGTTCAGTAAAACATTTTAGCTGCCAGAGAAAAATTGTGATATGAAGAGGACGCAGTGCATTATAACTGGGAAAGAAAGGCTTACAGGGGATTGTTGGTGTTACACTGAGGAAAAATTAAACAAAGGGGATAAATTCAAATTTTCTTTATATCCATTAGCTTTATCTACCATGACAGAAGCCATATGGTGTCTTTCATCATTTTTTTGCTTCTGCAAGCAGAGTACTCAAAGTTACTTTGAAGCTGACCTTACATACCACTGTGGTAGCATTTTATGTTGCTGTGCAGGAGAAGGTGATTTAGGAACAGACACTGATTTCTTTCTCTTTGCATTAGCTGAAACAGAGCTTTGCCCTTTGGGAAGGGACTGTGTTATCAACAGAGGGTGGTGGT